ATTTCTTATATGCAGTGAATATTCTATCACTAGCTCATTACAAAAAGTTTTCTTTAGTGCCATAATGTTGTCTGCCATAATGTTGTCTGCCATGTTTTACAAGTGTTACAAATGACAGCAGCAAACTCAAAACACACATTCACATTCCCCTGCTAACACCTACTGAACCAAGCATTTACAGTTCATATGGGGGCATTATACTAAATCACCTATATAACCATGTTACTTAATCAGAGATTTCACACTTTAAGTCAAGGAACAAAGCGCAAGGTGTATCTCAAATGAACACTGCTGTGAAGCTAATGTGATAGCTAATACAAATTCAGAGTTCCTTGGTAAGCCCTTTTCCTTGCTTTTGGTTTTCCATTCATGATGATGAATGCTGTGTAAAAGACAATAGAAGCACATGCCCCCATGATACCCTGCAAACATAAATTACTGGGTTTTGCACTCAGTGTGAGCTGCCTGCTTAATAGAAAGGAAGAATATTGTCCTGAGTTAGACGCAGCAAATAAACAGAATGGCAATTTTCACTACCATTTCTGTAATGCATCCTGATTTTTCCCATTTTAGGGAATATATGGATCAATAATGGCTAACCAAGATTTGTTTTGTTTTGTTTTGTTTTTTAAAAAAAAAAAGTCTGTTCTGCAAGTGCAAGCAGATTCGGGTTCTCAACTCCTTGGATGTCCAGAAAGTAAATTTCATAATCAGAAAAAAAAATATTAGAAATTAACCAGAGTATTTCATCCTAAAGGACACAATAGTGGCATCTATGGACCTGGATTCAGTATCCTCAGTTGTACCAGTAACAATATAGAAGTGAGCATCAGATGCAATCAAAGCAATCACACTACGACTGCAGCTTGAAGTAGCCAAAGCATGAGGGTCAGTGTTGTGAGTGAAAGGACAGTGCAGCAGCTGCATTTTAATGGGGCTTGCAGTTGTTTTGTAGAAAGACATGTATGGCAGTCACATAACCCACTGCCAAAGCCTAGCAGCAACCTGGGAAGATGCTAGATATCAAGCCTCCTACTAAACAGTAGCCTGACAGTGGTAGAACTGTGATTTTACCTGAAATCAAGCATTGGTCAGAATTACCTTCTGATGCCTCCCTTACGGCTATTAAGCACAGAAGTCTGGCCCTGAGAATGGGTTTGTCTAGCAAGGAAAAAGAGGCAGGAGAGCAAGAGGAAGGCTATTTGAGGCTTTGGGTTTCAAGCTCATGTGAATATATGCAGTCATCTAAACTTGCACTGTTCAGAATTTCTAAGATTAAAGTTATCATGAAAGATATTCAGTGCAGTCAATCGCTTAAAAACAGATGCATTTTTTTTTCAGATGAACACCTTGCATATACTTGTTGGATGCTCTTATTGCATTTAATTATTGTGGGGTAAAGCATACAGTAAATTCTATAACGTCCATGTTCTGTGGGCATTTCTCTAAACTGCAAGGAAAGAGGTTAATTGTGTACGTCTTTTGTCATCTAGTTGTGGTGCATTCCTAATACTCCCTCCCAAGAACATATGCTGAATTTACACTCTCAAATAGTAAAATTTATTCCCATGCATCTAGGTCTGGAAGATGAACATGGTAAAGCAAGTCCAGCACACTTTTCCCATAAACTCTGTGAGAAGAAAACTAGGTATTTATGGGGAACAAGGAACAATCCCTGTTGCCTATCATTTTTCAGAACTGTAAGGAAGAAGAAATAAACCAGAGCAGAGAAGAGGCTGCAGAGATCAAAACTCATGCCTCCCACAGACAAATAAATTCCACCTGAGCTAGTTTAGAAAAGCCAGCAGCATCGCCCCGACACAGGAGCGGTGGTCACCGTTACAGCTTCCAGCTGCTTGGGGAGGCTGGGGAGAATGGGGGTAGCCCACCTCATTCTAAAAGAACGGTACCTGAAGGGCTTTACCATATACTGAGCTTGCTTTCTCAGAAAAGCCTTTTAGGAGAAATACAGAAATACAGTGTGCAAACTATTTCGACTGCTTCATGCTTGGTGACTGCAAAGCACAGAGCTTAGAGGAAATAGTCATCTGGCAGGTGATCTGATGGCCAGGGTCTCCCATAAATATTGTCCTTTACATGCAGGGCATTCTTAAAGATCTACAGATGTAATGACTGGAATTACATAGGCTTTAAGGGGAGCTAAATGATAAAACCATTAAACCTGTAAAAGACAAGATGGAAATTTCTCTAGATTTTTACTGAATTTTATTTGATTTACTCCATCATTTTTTGTGATTATCATTTGGGGCCCATTAACTAGAACTGCACTTTCATTTAGTGAGGTGTTTAATATTTAATGTTAGCTTTCCAATGTTATATACATTGTAATAGTGTAAAGTTAAAATTAATTGAATCTTGTATAATTTGAGTCTGGTAAAAAAGCTAGAAGGATCATACTGGAACTATAATAACAGTATCAATAGCATTTCTGGAAGATTGAAACACAGTGTTATGCCTAAGAAGACTGTTTCCAATAGCTCATGCTCAAAAAGCCACCAAGATAGGGAAAAAAAACAGCAGAAATAATTTCAGGTGGAAAATGAACCAATAAATATTCCATAACCTATCTCCAGCTTTTTTTCAGAGATTATGATGGCAATTAGGACAGTATATACTGTTTCTTTGATATTGTGTATGGTTGCCAAGGCTATATGCTTATGCTCAGTTGGGTTATTCAATTCTTAAAATGCATTATGTTCAAATCACACTTTCTAAAGTGGTTTTCTGTTAGAACTACATCAAATGAAAGCCATATTGCTGGCTTAAATGTAATTCAGTTCATCCTTGTTGTGTCAGGATGTTTTTTATATATATAACAGGAAGGAAATGAAAAGATTAAAAAAAAACATTAGTCATCATGAGGTTTTTTAATATCATCAGCACTACCATAAAGCCAGCTGATAAATTACACACTATTCAGAAGAAAGAAATAGAATAAAATTAGTATTGCATTACACTAGATTAATCATAGCCCTGGGTTACTGTCATTCTATAGAAAATAAAAGCTTGACTATTTCAGATTTTAAAGTTCCTTCTCAGCCTTTAAGATTATTTGCCTTAAGAGACAAATAACAAGCCCATGTGCTGAAGGAAAAACACAAGATTGTGGACTGGTGGGGTTGGTAAATTTTTATCATTGTTTCTAAACAACCACAAAGCAGCATTGATGACTTGGATCCAGATGGTTAGTAGTAACGGTTCATAATAGTAACCTAATGAAGCTTTTTAGTGCTGGTGACAGGTAAATGCTTGAAAGGTTTATGGCAGGGAAAAAGCTTCAATAAATAACTTGAAAATCTGTCTCTCTTCTTACTTGCATAATTATTGCTTTTTATACTGGCATAATGGAACAGCAAAACATAGGTGAAGAAAAGGCTAGAAAAGAGGAACTCTCTGGAGCTAATAGGATGTATAGTGGGATTTTTTTTACTTCTTGTAAGATAAATAGCTACTTAACAACCATTAGGCCTCTCTTAGACTTAAGGGGAGAATCTACAAATCTTTTTCATACAGTTAAGTCTGTCCAGGGATGAGGAGCTAAAAACAGGGGAGATTAAGAGTTTTCCCTATGCAAGTAGACAATAATAGTTTCATCTTATTTTAAATGAAAGAAGTAAATTCTGGGATCTCTCACATGAGTTTTCCTCCCTAATCCTGTTTACCTGTGAAGAGTACAGCCAGAAATCTGGTGCTCCCTTTGCAATGGGGGGGAAGTCTGATGGCTGGCTGCTTCAAATGACAGGAGGCCAGTCCTGCAGGGACTCCAATGTTTCTGATAAAACCTTTCTCATTGTAAAAAAAGGTTTTCAATAAATGGAAATTTTAACAGAAATCATCCCTTTTTTTTCTTGGGGAAAAAAAGGCAGACTTAAAATTCACTGAAGGCGGGGGTAATTAGCTGAAGAGAACATCTGAAAATTTTCCAGGTTTTGATCAGAAGTGCACCAGGTTTTGTCAGCTGCTTCCAGTTTCAGTTATAGAAATAGATTGGCTGAAAGATATTTTTCCTGTCAAAAGTGAAAAAACAAACAAACAAACAAACAAACCTAAAAAAACATAGGTTGAAAATTTCACTTAAAAAAGAAACCATCTACTTCTGTTAACATTTTCTACTGTCAGTTTTCCAAACAGATGTGACTGGGAAAGTGTTGTCAGTTTTTCTGTGGGTAGGCAGAGTTGGTATGTGTTATGCTCCCCTGCAGCATTACTGAGTGCCTAGTTGAAGGTGGTAGCATTAATGGGTTGCATAGCAGGACACAGATTTACCTGCTGTAAGAATGACCCTCAAAAGTGTTGGCTGACACTGGATTTTTGCTGTTTCACACTGTGGCTAGCAAAACAACACAAGAAATCAAACTATATGCAAGTAAAGCCTACAGCATGTACACAAGAACAATAATAAAATAGACAATGTGAAAAGAGAAGCCACTGAGGAAAGAACAATTAATCTGGTGACTATACACATTGTTGAATGCACACAGTCAGTGTAAATGGTCCAGAATAAGGTATACAAACAGTGTAACAGGACTGAAGCAAAGAATCCTACATGCAGATTATTTAGATTGAATGATATTATGCAAATAAAGCATTTCATTGCAAAGCAGCTAAGATACGTTCTTCTATTTTCTGCTGCTAAAATAGAAATTATTCAGCAGTTGTTCACATAGCATTATTGAGGGGAATTATACCTCAGCCTCAACAAATTTTGCTTGATTCACTGTGGTTATTTTGGGCCATGCAGTCTAACTTAAGACTGTTGCACAGTCCTGATTGTCCACTGCTGCAGGTACAGTACTTTTCTTTTAGCCCTCAAAGGTTTAAGGTGAGACAGTTGGACAGATATAGATACTTGATTGATTCATTAAAAAGTCAAGTCATAGTCCTCTATCCTCTTTTCCCCGGTTGTCTTGGTTTCCTTTTGAGGTTCTGCTGGAGGGAATTCTGTGCTTTCATACTGAAGTGAACATTTCATTTCTCAGTTTCTACAGATCAAGTGATGAGATGTGTGGGAACCCCCTGAAGGCTGAGAAGAGAAACCCTGACTCCCCCACAGAAAATTGTGTACTGCAGTTTCTTACTGGCTAGCAACACCTTTGATTCAATTTGTATGAAAACTCAATTTACTTATTAAAATGGACGTTATTGTTCAAATATTAGAAATCCCATTTCTTATATGTTCTAAGCTGTACAATTGTCAGATTTTTATGGTTTAGATTGTAAATGTGTTTTTCTCTGGCTAATTATTGGTATTATTTTTTTAATTTTGATGTCTTAAAGGCCAGTGTACTGTATCATAATAATATGAAGGACATATTTAACAGGTGTGGGAAACTGTATACAAATGTATATTTCTAAAAGCTATTTTTATGATTAGCATGTTTTACTGTTTTACCATATTTAGTCAGGTGATATTGCACTTCTTTGTTCACAGCTTAATTCAAACAAGATCACAATAAATACATTGTATGGTATTTTCCATTATTTTAATTATTACATTTGTCACCAAAAATAATTATGTTTACTAATAGGGATAGATGCTAAAAAGTGAAAATGTCAAAATGAGAGAGAAATCCTTGATAAACTCTAAATTGGATGCTCCTGTAAATCCCTTTCCTCAGATAATCACTCTCTGTGATGTCATTCACTAGACAGCTGTTACAGATGTTCCTACCAGTCTCCAAAGACAGTTTTTTATTAACATATGGAAAGTTTACATGACAGTCAGTCTCCCATCTAGCCAGATAAATTACTTATAGACTGCCAATATCTGACAACCTGAGTTAGTCTACTGATTAACTTTTGGTTTGTTTTCTGGCAGTAGTCTTTCCACTCCTGAAACCCTAAAGCCCTCCTAAATCCTGCAGTTGGAATATTTATTACAGATGTTGTAGGGGGAATCTCAGTATAGAATTTCTTAATAAATCATATTTCATTTCAAACAGAATGGATGCATTATTTCTCCTTTGTTACTGAGATATTAAGGATATCAAAGCATATAAGGTATGGGCACAAGGTTGTCTTCTCCAGTGAAAGTACCAACTTGTTCACCATCCCAAAGCTAGACCTCCATAGCATTGCAGGTGACATGAAACAAAGAATAGATATTTGTTTATCTACATCCTTGTGAGATATACTCATTTTAAAAGAGACATGTCTTTAAAGTAATTGCAGGAGAAAAAAATATTTGATAGCTATGGCCTTCCAAGAGGGAGAGACAGTAATTTAAGAAGTACCTTAGATAGTCAAATGGAGTTCAGACCCAGCTGTGTGCCAGTCTGCAGCACAGAGCCCTGATGTCCACTGGTATCTGTGGCCAGGGGTATTTGGTATCATCCAGTACAACAAAGATGAACCCTTGTCTTGCCTTTTCAGTCATTCTCTGTAGGCTGAAAGAAAGAGTGAAATAAAGGTACCACAGAGACTCTTTAATAGCTCAAACTCAATTTCTACAAAAAACAACAGTTTCTGAGGTGATAGGTTCACCTCAAACAGTGGGGGTATGAGGAGGTGGGAGCCCAAGGTCTCCAGTCAGGTTTACAGCATAGGCATCATCACCAAAGGACTCATTCTTCAAACATTTGGAAGAGAAGCATACATTTGAATTTAATTATCAGTTACTGAGTGGGAGTTTACTTCACTAGGAGACTATGTAACATAGCACTCAGTTATTTTTGTGGAACTTTTGTTTGGCTTGTCTATTGTCTGTGGAGTTACATGGTTTACCTAAGTGCTAAGTAGTACCTAGCTACTTAATCAAGGAAAGCATAGTTTAAGTAGTTACACCTGAGCATAAAGAATCCCAACTTCAGAATCCACCAAGGCTGATTCTCCCAGAAAAGTGCAGCAAAAAATACTACTTCTGTGCAAGTGAAATGTTAGGTCAAATCAAAGGGTAAAATATTTCTCCACTTTCTATCTATTAGTATAGGCTATGATCATTTTTAACTGTAAAAATGAAAAAAAAAAAAAAAAAAAAAAAAAAAGCCATTTTGGGATCTCCGTCTTTGTCTGACAGTTAAAAAAACAGAACTTCAAGCCTTAGCAACTCAACAGGAATTTTGCCCACTTCAATTATGTAAACTGTTGGCTGACTTAAAAGATACAAAATGTCACCCAAGGAGATCAGTTCTGATGTTGGTGTTAATAAACTATGTATGAGAAACAGCTAGGTGTATCATCTCTTCACCATCTCCATTCCAAATGAGCTAATAATCACAGAAAGCACTCTATTAGATTTTTACAAAGTCTTTCCAATCATTACCCTTAGATTACGTATTCACAGAACTGATTGCACTGTCATAATGTCGACACTGTTTCACACCACAGTTTAAGTCCTGAATATATTTTGAACACAAAAACACATCTCTGATAACACTATGAGGCACTACTTCATTTGCAAGCCATAAGCTTGTTGTGCCGTGCAGTTGATTACTAGCAAGGTTTTTTAATGGCATGTTTGCTTCAAATCACTACAGAGGATGTGGTAGCTTCAACAGAGTTTGATAGTTCTCTACTTTCATGTGTGCAGTATGCTCAGTGTTGTTTGCCATCACTACTGATACTTGCTTTACATGGGTTTTGTCAGATGTGGGTTTTTTTAACATTGCTCATCCCTTGCAATATGGAAGAATAGGAAACATAAAGGATCTTGTCAATCAGTTTGGATAGTTAACAGTCTTATAAAATCCTTTATGGACAGTCCTGAATTAAATCAATTCATTTTCTACACAGACCTATACACTCTGTGTATTTCAGATATTTGTTTCAAACCTGTGCAGCTGCATGAATGGAAAATATTTACTAAAAAGCTTTAAAGTTTGAATCAATAAAAAATATTTTTACTTTTGTAAACTCTTGTATTACATATTGTTGCGGTTCTTATTAGTTTCGCTGTAGATTCATTTTTAGTTCTGAAAAAACATTGTACTTAAGCTATGTAGATAGCCACAATCTTGTAAGCAGTCATATTTTTACTAGGTGCCACTGCAAGTTAGAATTAAAACATGCAGGGTTTGCTAATGTAGGGGAGATTGATGGTTCATTACGGTTTTCTTTAAAATGTTGTAACATAATTTTTACATGTCTGTAAATAAATATTTTCTCTGATTTATGCACTAATTCAGTTTTGTAATTTCTTCTCTTGAAATGTGACTAAGAAACATCCCAGGAAAAGATATATTTCTCTCATGGAAAAATACCATTTAAAGCTCTTTGATAGAACCATGCTTCATCAAATTTCCAAGCAGAACAAACAAACAGGTATCCACAGTATGAAATATTTATCTTAAGTAAATAAGATGGAGAAAAATGTGGTAAATGCTTCTATCACTTTAATAGTTTGAGAAATTTAAGGACCAGTCTTGTGTTAAAAAATGAGACGAAAGGTGACAGACTTCCTAAGAGATTCTTCAGTGGGGTAAGGGAGAGAGAAAGAAAAGGCCCATTGATGATATTTCAATGAATTTGAGGAATGCATTTTCTTAACCTTGGAAGCTTCTAAATTTCAGGTATCACTAAAGTAGCATGAATATAATTTATGAAAAACATGTTAATAATAGTTACAATTTTCTGATCGGTATTCAAACATATTTTTTATTCATAGTTTATTATTCTATTCACAAGGTACTGCTGTACAGACAAACTAAGGAAAATTGGCCCACAAAGTCTACAATAATATTTTAAACTACATTGGAATTGTTGGGAAGCAAGACTATTTTGAAGTGTATGTGATTTCTATATGGCACATAATTTTCTACAATTTTACATGTGTTGTCTTTATTGATACAGCTATGCCAGATTTTGCTCAAGTTTGTGAACTTTATAAACAACTTTCTCTTGTTATGTGGGATACAGGGCCAATTCTCACTCAGAAGGAACCCTGATGCAGATTAAATAGTAGCTGAATAAGTAATTTCTAATTCCTTTTTAGTAGAGAACATAGCCTGAGAACTTCAAAAGTTTCCAGTTTCCATGTTCAGAAGAATCCTCAATAGTCTAGAAAATTTAAATAAGATATACATCTGATTTGAGAGGAAAGACGGTAATAAAGTAATATAATTTCATTTTCTGTACTTGTCTGTCAAGTTCTTATGTAATAAACATCATCAAAAAAATTCACTTTGATAATCTTAAATTCTGTGTTGGATGATATTGCATAAGTGCAATTACTGAAATTAAGGCATCAATCAACCAAGAATAATCAGGGAGAGCATCCTGCAGTGTTAGATGGATAAAACATGAAACAATCTAACATTTTATGGTCAAAGGAGCAGTACATTATGAATATTTTTGGAACAGAGAAGTACTTAACCGTTTGAATGATTAGTAATAAAGTTTAGAAAACATAATTTATGCAATTAAGTGGTACTCAGGATTATACTCCAGTATTTTTCTATTTACTCATACAAAGATCCCTTCTGAGCCTCATTCATTGCCATTACGGACAAAGACAAATAACAGTTCACCATAGTCACCCACTCAGATCCATCAGCTCCAGATCAGAAAAAAGGTCTCTCTATGGTTAGGCCCCCACATGAGAGAAAGGGTAGTGTGTATGGTGAAGCTAAAAACAGCTGGACACCCTGAACTAGGAGAAAAGATGTCTGTTTTGGCCAGTGGCTGTCAAACTTAACAGTCAGCTAGGGACAGACCTGACTACGGATAGTCTATTCCTAGAGAAAGGAGAGTCCAGCCAAGGCTATGAGTAAAGATGAAGGAAATATTCTTTGTACACTAAGTAAAATCATCACAACTTGGCAAGTTAGTACTGTAGCTCTGAGCATTTCTCACCAATGAAATGTTCTACCTACAAGGATGAGAGGGACAGAAAGTAAGGGCACCTGTGTGCAGCATTTGCAGCCCTATTCTGGCAATCCATGCCCTTACAATGACCAGCCCTGGAAAACTGATAAGAAAACCCTTTGAGAAACTGCTTAAAAAACACTGAGTGCATAGGAAATAAATAGTTGGTTTTGGGATGGTGGGGTTTGAAACTCATGTAAGACAAAAAGAGCTTGATGTTTTTCATTGATACATACTTGGGAGTTGCTATAGTAAGTATTTATCTGGTTAACCTCTCAAAGAAAGATTGCTGTTCCACACTTGTGTGAACAGAATTAATCCACAATTATCACATAGTGTTTTAACAGAAAACCTAATTCCTGTATCATCCATCCCATATAAATCCAACTAACCAAGAAAAAATGTTTCTAAAGGTTACATTTAAAACTTTCTGATACTATCCTGGCTACATATATTTAACAGCCTAAGGTAATGGAGAAAATACTTTGCATGACCACTCTGCAGTGTATTACTATATGTGAATATATCTACGATATGTAGCTATGCATATATGGAAAAAAAAATATTCTTCCATTGCTTTGTGCTTTAGATAATTTGAAATGTTTCTCCTCAACTAGAGACAACTAATGTTGTGGAAAATAAGAATCAGACTCATCCCTGGGATAACTCTGCTGACATCAGTCATTAGAAGAGTACCTTCGGTGTCTACTCCAACTGAATACTTAAGCAGAAAATGTGATCAGTGCTCACTCTGTGAAGAGTTACAGCAACATTTAGCATGTTATTTAAAGACAAAAGAAGTGATAAATCATATAGTTATTGCTAGTATAGCTATACTGCAGCAGGAACATAGTGGAACATACTGGAGGAGCAAAGGATATAAAACAGGGTAGGGCTGCAACTTGAATGGTGCACTGAAACTTGAATGAGCATTGAAAGGTTCTTACCTGGGGATGACTGAGGAAATTGCTGAAAGTTGATGTGCTGCACTTGTATTTATTTTACTTTTGAAGAAACCTGCCCCACTTATTTATTTATTTTCACATCCCTACCTGTAATGCCATGATTCTGACTATGCTTTCAAGGACTAAGTCTCTAAATTTCCAAGTGATTTGGGTTGAACTGCCCGAGAATTCAACACTTATCAATGTGTAGCAAATCACACAGAAAATTAACCCAACTACTCAGAATTTTGGCCCCATTGTTTAATCCACGAGGTATGGGAGAGATTTAATAAGTGTCTGTTTACTTGAGTGGCTACATTAACAGTAAATCTATGCTTCCATTGATTGGAAAACTGTAGATGAGACAGCTACACTTCTGACACAATGTAAATGCTAAACTCCAACAAAAATGTACACTAGTTCTGTGAGGAGAAGGGCTATGAAATCATGACAAGATGGCAACTGGGCACTACCACTAGAAAAATTAAGCTAGACAGCAGCCCATGCTCAAACCATTTCTACTGAGCAGCTGATCACTTGCCAGCAGCAACTGGACACTTTACTTTCTATTAGGCTTCCTCCAAAGGTAGGTGCTTTTATACATTATGCTAGTTTTTATTGTGAAAATAGGCAAAACAGTTATCAGGTAAATGAGGTAGCACTGTCTTAAACCAGCAAAGAAGTTGGCTTATTGTTCTATAAATTTAATTCAGCTTTAGTTATTTAAATCATTCCCATACAGAGTAAGTAATGTTCACTATCTCTGATTAGTAGGGGAAGACCACAAACACTTACTTTCAGAATATTCTTCAGCTTTTAAAGCATATTTTCTTAATTTCATCTATTTTTTTAATCTTATTTTTCCCTCTATTATGTTAAACTGTAAAAAAGTAAATAGCAAATAAAACATTCAGAAATATTTGTAAAAAAAGAAATTTTAATTCATAAACATAAATAAGAAACAAGTTTAGTAGAAAAGCATCTTTTTAGACTGACAAATAGAATTGATAAAAATAGGAAAGCTTTTAGGTATACAAGGCTATCAGTTGTTTGTTTTTTTTTTTCCTAATTTACCTTTAGATCATCCTTATATGGATTCACCATCTTGTCTATAAAAACACTGCTATTAAAAACAACCAATCAAAATGAAACAGATATGTTCTTATCAACAATGGAGTTATGACACAATTCATATTTCTAGTCAGTCAAAATCCTGATTTATGTAATTGTTACACAAATCATTGTGCATAAAACATAAAAATCCGTGTCTGAAGTGATGAATTTGGGTTGGTTGTGTTGGTTTTTTTGGTTTGGTTTGGTTTGGCTTGGTTTGGCTTGGTTTGGTTTGGTTTGGTTTGGTTTGGTTTGGTTTGGTTTGGTTTGGTTTGGTTTGGTTTGGTTTGGTTTGGTTTGGTTTGGTTTGGTTTGTTTTTTTTGCCAACAGTCAGTCTTTTATATTCTGGTCTTCATCAATACTCAACACAGGAGGACAAAGTCTTATGCAATACGTGATACCAAGAAAATAAACACCTAGACATTTCTTTTCTTAGTTCTATACAGGACAGCTTTCTGTGATACCTGTTGGGAAGTTTACTGTGTTTGTGATGACATATTGCATTACTTGTAATCAATGTATCAGTGTATGAAATGTTGTTTTACAAATCTATTCATTGAGCACTCTTATTCAAGGTAACAGGCTTCAGAGACCAAGTGTATCAGGTCATGTCTCAGGTACACCAAAGTGGTTTTTGACAGCAAGCCATAAAAAATCAATTGTGCTGATTTCAAGGATGAGTGACCTTTCAGATTTGGATACTTCTCCATTTATATGAGGATCATTTGTAAGTGAATTGCAAGTTCTGAGTGTTTTTTGTGGTAGGCTAACAAGGTGGAAAAACAGTAATCCAGGAGTACTACCAGCTTTAATGTGGCTCATTCTGAACAATTTGTTCCACACTGGTTTTGGAGGATCCAAGACATGCCACAAGATAACATGATAGCAGCAGACAACAAATAATGGCAATAATAAAAATGACAGAAATCATTGCTCGTGGAATTGCATGCAGCCAGCCATGCAGACAAATTACATTGCTGACTGCTCTATCGGATGTAGACTTTAAGTACAAGAGATGCTCTGTGAAACCCCATGCAGTGCAGAGCTACAAAGAAAGCACATCTGCTGCTGCTGCTGCCTACTCAAGGGAACAAAGAACCCAAGCAGATGTTATATATCCAGCAGTTCCCTCAAACAGCACTTTTCAAAAATGTCTTTTTATAGGGGACAAGCTCAAGCTTTTTACCCATCACCTTCATCCCCCTTTTATGTGTGGTTTGTCTCATCTGTTAAACTACAAGGTTTTTCAGAGAAGAAAA